AGTGTGCTTCATTATGGATGAATCAAATATGCTTGATACAGGTTTTCTAGAGCGCCTGAACACTCTACTCGCCAATGGAGAAGTAAGTGTTATCGAACTTTGTCATTAAATAATTACCATACTGTTAGGATATTTTTTCTACTCTTTTTTTGAAAACTATAGCTTTCTGTGCCTTGACTTAGTTTAAAAAATTCTTGTTTAGGTACCAGGTTTATTCGAAGGTGATGATTATACGACGCTTATGAGCCAAATCAAAGAAGACGCTCATCGCCAAGGACTTATGCTTGATTCACCTGACGAATTATACAAGTGGTTCACAGCACAAGTATATTTTGCATATGATTTGTTGTTTTGGTCATTTCTATAGTTTTTGTAATTTCTTACTTGAATCGTTCAGGTAATGCGGAATCTCCATGTTGTATTTACGATGAATCCCTCTGGTGAGGGACTTCGAGAACGGTCTTCAACTTCTCCAGCTTTATTCAACCGATGTGTGCTGAATTGGTTTGGTGATTGGACAGACTCTGCACTTTATCAAGTAATAATATTATACTGTAACATTGTATTTGTCGAATTTGTTCTTTCAACAATATTATTAATCAATTAATAATTAGTTGCAAGGATTACTCAATAAAGTTTTTAAATGGAAGTATAGGTTGGTATGGAACTGACAAATACACTTGATATGGCTCGCCCAGAGTATCAGGCACCGCTTACTCTTCCAGCAGTATGTGACCTTCTTCCATCTCCTATACAGTATCGTCATGCCGTTATCAACACCTTCGTTCATGTTCATAATTCTGTGAGAAAGGTTAGTATTTTATTTTGGTGCATACAAATATGTTGCACTTGATCTTAAAAAAAACATATTTTAACATTATATTAATTTTTATTCATATTTCAGGTGAACGAAAATGAGACAAAACGTGGTCATAGAGTGATGGCACTAACTCCAAGACATTTTCTCGATTTTATCAAACACTATATCAACGTTTTTCATGAGAAGCGCCGTGATTTAGAAGAAGAAAAATTGCATCTAAATATTGGTTTAAGCAAGGTTACTTCATTTCAAAATACTAAAAATTTTCCCTGTTTAGTTCATAACATTGGTCTAATTCGTGATTTTTAGATCAGAGAAACTGAAGAACAGGTTCTGGAACTGCAGAAATCATTAACACTGAAGAGCAGCGAATTAGAAACGAAAAAAGCTGCAGCTAATGCTAAGCTAAAGGTAGTTCAACCGGAAAAACTTTTTAAAATTGATTATTAAAGATTAGTTTTCGAATAAATTTGTTCAGTTCACCGACTTATTTTAAAAGCGTCTTTATAGGAGATGCTTGCTGATCAGCAGCGTGCAGAAAAGGAGAAGTTGGCCAGTGAGCAATTACAAAAGGAGCTTGCCGAGTCACTTATAGAGATTGATAAGAAACGTGCTGAGGTACAGGAAGATTTAGCGCAGGTAATAAATTTTTTAGTATTGAAATAACAAATCGTATCTGAAGATTTTTATCAGTTTCCAGAACGTTTTAAGGTATGTTAAAAAATTAAAATTAAGACTAGTGAAGTCTTAATTTTTATTGAATCACGTGTTTTCTTTAGGTTGAGCCAGCCGTAGAAGAGGCAAAACAAGCTGTAAAAGGTATCAAAAAAGGCCAACTTATCGAAGTTCGTTCGATGGCTGCACCGCCACAACCTGTGCGCCTGGCTCTTGAATCAATATGTTTGCTACTTGGAGAGGTTTGCTCGCTTAAAATTAATTTTCTTGTTTTGATTTTTTCTGTGGTTTGCACTTATTCTCATTTCTTGTTTAGAACGTTGGAATGGATTGGAAAGCTATACGTGGTGTTATGGTGAAAGAAGACTTCATGCCAAGAATTCTCAATTTCGACACAGATAGTATTTCTGCAGAAACTTTGAAGATGATGGAGAAATATATTCGTAATCCTGATTGGGACTTTGATAAGGTCTACAAACTTTTCTTTAATGGTTTGGGTTTTTTTTTTGTTAATATTTTAGAAATTAATATCCTTTAAAACTGAGAGGATCTTATTCAGGTAAATCGTGCTTCATCAGCTTGTGGTCCAATGATTAAGTGGATGAAGGCACAGCTTCTATATTCGGATATGTTGCGGAAAGTAGAGCCATTGAGGAATGAATTGGAACGGTTAGAAAAAGACGCAAAAGTTAAAACAACAAAAGGCGAAGATTTGAAAAAGACAATTGCAAAATTGGAGCAAAGTATTGCTGCATACAAAGAAGAATATGCTCAATTGATTGGTCAGGCAGAAGCAATCAAGGCAGATCTAGCAACCGTCAAGGAAAAGGTTCGATTGGTAGATATGCTGCAGAGCACTAATATAAGCAAACTCACTTTTTTCTACTTGTTCATAGCTTTTTTATATGGAAAATTGGTGGAAACTAGTTCTTGTATGATTGATTCATTTCAGTAATAAATAAACAGTTTTTTCATGTTAACTATTTTATTTCTAAAAATTTACAGCTTTGACTTTTATTTCTTGTTCCATTTTTATTACTGCGTCCTTTGTTTTTTACCAGCTTTTTAGCTTCATTCGTGGATATCATTTCAGGTTGGTCGTAGTACGCAGCTTTTGGGAAGCCTTGGCTCCGAAAGAGATCGTTGGAATGGCAGTTGCGATGGTTTCAGTCAACAAATGGATTCGCTTATCGGTGATGCATTGCTGAGCGCTGCATTTTTAGCTTATGCCGGGTAAAAAGATAAACTTTTCTTATGATTCTATAAATTCTTGAAAATTTCTGCGAAACTGCATCTTTTAATTCAGTTACTATGATCAACACTTGCGTGATCTTCTTCTCCATCGCTGGACGTCTTTTGTTGAGCAAGCAGACATAAAATATCGCTCAGATTTGGCCCGTGTAGAATATCTTTCATCAGTTGATGAGCGTCTCGAGTGGAATAAAAATGGCTTACCGGTTGATGATCTCTGCGCCGAGAATGCAATCATGCTTCATAGGTTATTCTATAATATATATCTAAATTATCTATGAAATAAAAATTTTAAAATTTTACTTCAAAATGTGTGTTATATATAACCAACAAACTAAAGTGATAATGTACTGAAGGTGACATTTCAGATTCAATCGATATCCACTTATCATTGATCCATCAGGGCAGGCAATTAATTATTTGATGAAACAATTTGCTGGAAAGAACATCACAAAGACAAGCTTCTTGGATGACTCATTCAGGTGAGTTATTACTCTAATACGCTATGAAGTTGGAAAGCAAATATTTACATTCTATCGTTTTTAATGAAAATTGTAATACTTACTTTTGAGAAAACATGTATAAAACAGTTTTTTTATGCTGATTTCTCAACTGGAATTGGGATTGTTGGTGATGCTATTGTTTTTGCAATGAAAAACATACTTTTTTAAGAAAAAAGTGTATTTTTTAATGAAACTTGAATTTCTGTTTCATCGACTGTGATATTTTTGATTGACATATGCTCAAAAAATTGTTTTATTCTGTACTAAATTATGATATATCCATGAAATTAAATATACTTTCGTTATAAATTGAGGATTCCCAGTATTATACACTTTAGTATCACAAGTTTCATTGATCTGATGCCTTGTCATTAATTTTAGAAAAAATCTGGAATCAGCATTACGATTTGGAAACTCACTTCTTGTTCAAGATGTCGAAAGTTATGATCCAATCTTGAATCCAGTTTTGAATCGTGAAGTGAAAAGAACAGGCGGCCGTATTTTGATTAGATTAGGTGATCAAGATATCGACTTGTCTCCATCGTTCCAGATATTTCTAATTACTCGAGATGCTTCGGTTTGTTTTTTGGTAATTTTATTGCAGATCTTGGCATAAAAATGCTACATGATTTGCATTTTATTAAATTTAAGGTTGAATTTGCACCCGATCTGTGTTCAAGGGTGACATTTGTTAATTTCACGGTGACACGTGCATCACTTGAGATGCAGTGCTTAAATCAAGTGCTAAGAAGTGAACGGCCGGATGTGGATGAAAAGCGCAATGATTTATTAAAATTACAAGGAGAATTTGCTGTACGATTAAGGCAACTGGAAAAGGTTTACTGAAATTATTCTTTGTTCACTTCGTTTGAAGAAAGTTTTGCACAAAGATAAATTTATTAATAGATTTGCTCCTAAAAGTTTATAATCCTGTTTTTATGTGCAGGCACTGCTGGCAGCGCTTAATGAAAGTAAGGGCAAAATATTGGATGACGATTCTGTCATATCTACTCTTGAAAAATTGAAAAATGAAGCCGCTGAAGTTGGTCGCAAAGCTGCTGAGACAGATAAAGTTATGGCTGAGGTAAAATATTTTAAATGAAATTAATGAAATGATTTTGCAGTTTAGAGTGTGAGTTTCGAAACAGACCGTTTTTATTTCATAATCTTTGCAGGTCGAAACTGTGTCTCAACATTATTCACGTCTGGCGCAGGCGTGTTCGCTGATATATCTGATGCTTCAACAGCTTAACGAATTTCACTTCCTCTATCAGTATTCGCTAGATTTTCTGCTTGAGATATTTATGGCAGTGCTAGTTTCACCTCAGCTTAAATCTGTCACTGATTATGAACAACGACTTAAAATCATAATGTCGAACTTATTCCAGGTGAATAGACTTTTTTGTAATGTCACAGATAAATTACTTTCAAAGATTTGAAATGTCATCAAAGACAATTCATCAAAAATTTGAACTCACTGTTTTATTTTTTTTTAGATGGTTTATCGACGTGTTTCTTTGGGTATGTTACACCAAGACAAGCTATTATTGGCGTTGTTGCTTATGCGTATTGTGCTGAAAGGCAATACCAATGAACGTTCATATCAGTTGGAGGTCTAATTTCATTTATTAATGTGTTTTTTACTTTTTTAAAATGTATGATTTAAAATGTGTTCTGTTTTCTTAAGTTTTAATTACGTTCATGTTTAGTTCCTATCTGGAAAACTTTGAGTAATGAAACAGATAATTGACTGAAATAATAGTTCTTTATCATTTTTTCAGCTGGATCATTTACTTGGCCGCTCCGAGATTTTCACTAGTCAGAAACAAGCAGAGGGTGCTGAGTCTTTTCACGGCCTCAATACGCAACAAATGGCAGCATTATTCCAATTATCTCGTTTATCTGCTTTTAAAGATGTTGTTAAAAAAGTTTCTGCGAGTGTGGACTTTGGAAATTGGGTCGCGCTCGATAATCCAGAGCTTAGTGTACCAATAATTTGGGATGGTGACGATAAACTGAGTAAGTTCATCTTAAGCAATTTAGGATGTGAAGTTATGTTTCATCAAAATTTCTGATTAGTTTATTTCTCATAATTGTCGAGATCTGAAAGATTAAGATTTTTTACATATCTCATTTTATAATTTTATTTTAAAGTGTTTTGTTAATCAAAAAAATCTATTTTTTAAAGCGGAAATTGGACGTTGCATCAATGAACTACTTGTAATTCATGCTCTTCGACCGGATCGCCTTTTGGCGTCTTCTTATCGTCTTGTTGCCGCAGCATTCGGTAATGAATTCATGCAAGAAGACAAACTGGTGAACCTGCGTGAAATTGTTGAAAACGAAGTAATCTAGTTTGGTTATTGTTTCTATTATTTATGGCTATATGAGGCAAATCAGGGTATCAGTGTGTGGTTTATTGTTGAATGTTTCTGATTTCACCATTTTGATAGTTAAATAAAAGTTTCTAGGTGAATGCAAACCGTCCAATTTTATTGTCCTCTGCTATTGGATTCGATGCATCTGGTAAAGTTGAAGATTTGGCTGTCGAAATGGGCCGTGAAGTTACTCCAATTGCAATTGGTTAGCGTCTCATAAATCATTTCCCTTTCATTTGACTTATTTCTGATAGAGTTGGCAAGCAAATTATTTCAGGTTCTGCGGAAGGTTTCTCTCAGGCGGATACGGTGTTGAATTCGGCTTCCAAGTCAGGGAGATGGATTTTATTGAAAAACGTACACTTGGCACCGTCTTGGTTGGCTCAGCTGGAAAAACGTTTGCATTCCTTGAAACCCCATCCACAATTCCGTTTGCTATTGACTGCTGAAATTCATCCTAAATTACCACCACAGGTGTTGCGCGCGTCACGTATTGTCGTATATGAACCGGCTACTGGCCTCAAAGTAAATTTTATTACATCTGTTTAATAGTATCGTTTTTAATTCTAGCGATTATTTAGAATGCTGAGATGGATACACATATCTGTTAATTGCTGTTGTTTAGGCGAATTTACTTCGTTCACTGAGTTCACTGGCACCGCAGCGAATTACGAAACCGCCGCTTGAACGGTCACGTCTCTATTTTCTTATATGTTGGTTGCATGCAATCGTGCAAGAGCGAATGCGCTACATTCCACTTGGATGGGCGAACTCATACGAATTCTCTGATGCTGATTTGCGTGTGGCTTGTGATACCTTGGATGCATCAGTTGATGCAGTCGCTATGGGACGTGTCAATGTTTCACCTGAGAAATTGCCATGGCATACACTTCGATGCTTATTATCACAGTGCATTTACGGTGGCAAAATTGATAACGACTTTGATCAAGTATCGACTTTTGCTAGATTGAAAATTGATTTTTATTTTTATTTCTTAAATACTTCTAACTTCTAACAAATAAAGCCGCCTGTAAGATAAATACTGGATTAGATGCAATGGAACAGAGCTCCTTATCCTATTAACGGTTTCAAATGATTGCAGATGCTGCTTGATTGCTTCCTTGAGAAGCTTTTCACAGCTAAATCATTTGATGCTGATCGTGTTCTTATCAGTAATGTTGATGGTAAAGGAAGTGATCTCTGCATACCGGATGGTAATTCGCGCGAGCATCTCATTCACTGGGTGGAGAAAATGCCGTATTTACAGTTACCATATTGGCTTGGTTTACCAAATAATGCCGAGAAAGTACTGCTTACAGTAAGAGGTATTAATATTTGAGTCATTTTTAGTTTAACTAAGGATGGGTCTATTGTAATGTCAAATGCTATTTACAAAATGTATTTGATGAATGCTTAGGTGAAACTATGCTTGCCAACCTGCTGAAAGTGTCTGATGAGGAGTTGGCATTCACCGGTGATGATCAGAAAACTCAGTCTCCACCATGGATGACTGTTCTTGCAGAACAAAGCTCTCAGTGGCTTAAGTTGCTTCCAAAGGTAATTTTGAATCTGTCATTTGTATTCATAATGTAATCTTCAGCTAGCATTTTTTCTATTCACAGATTAATGTTTCTAGTACTTTTTTGAAATTATTATTTCAGAACATTCCCAAACTGAGACGTTCAATGGAAAACATCAAGGATCCACTCTTTCGCTTCTTTGAGCGGGAAGTTAATCATGGCACTCATTTGCTGGCAAGTGTGAGAAGCGATCTAATAGAGGTAAAGTCATAAGTCCTTCTAGCGAGTTTTTAAAAATTAAATTTTAATCGACTCGACGAGATCTTTGAGTTACTGAGGAATTTTCATTACTTGCCAAATTGCAGTTGCTAACAAATGTTTTTTTTCCAGGTGCAATCAGTTTGCAAAGGCGAACGAAAACAGAGTAACCATACTCGGGCATTAATATTAGCATTGAATAAAGGTCTCGTACCGGCTGATTGGTTACGTTATACTGTTCCGAAAGTTGTCACTGTTATGGCGTGGATTCATGATTTCAGCGAAAGAGTACAGCAGCTTATCAGATTAGCTGGATCTGCTTCACTGAAGGTTTATTTTTAGCACAATAACATGTAGATTTCTTATAGATCCCAATTTTGCAACAATTTTCTTCTAAGTTTTTATATTTTGGTTTTTTTCAGAAAGAAAGCATTTGGTTAGGCGGATTATTTGCACCGGAAGCATACGTTACAGCTACAAGACAGACAGTAGCACAATCAAATCAGTGGTCTTTAGAAGAATTACGCATGCATATTGAAGTAGGCACGACGGATGATCGTCCTGACACATTTAAAATTGAAGGTATTGCATTCTTTTTGCACTTCAGTTGCAAGACTTCAGCGAAATCTGACTTTTGAAGTTATTGACATATTTGCATGGATTTGTATTATTTGTTTTATTAGGTCTTCAATTGATGGGTGCGATGTGCAAGAAAAAAAATAAACTGGAGATTGTGGACGAGGTCAGCACAGATTTAGAAAACGTTACGCTATCATGGTTCCGCGAAGCGAGTTCCCCAAATAGTATTACTCTCCCTGTTTATTTGTATCGTGATCGAAAGAACCTACTATTTAGTCTTGATTTTGACCCGGGTGAAGTTCAGAAGACAAGCCTGTATGAAAGAAGCGTTGCTGTCACATCGAACAGCTCACTATCCTAATTTTTTTCGGATCTAAATGTTATTTTTGAATGCAGAGAGAATGAGGCAAACAGTGATTATGTAATAAATTATATGCTAAATGAATAAGAGCAATGCATCAACTCACAAGGCGCTTGTTGTATCATTATATCTTAGTGCATTTATTTATGTTGAAATTTGATACAAAAGTAGAAATGTATTATTACGGTGTTGGTTTCAGAACAATCTGACATAGATTAGGATCTTGTACGATAGATCTGTATGATTTTATGAGCTATATTGAGTTTAGTTATTATATGTATAAAATAAATCATGGTGACCAGGAAATGGTCTAGTAATTTCATAATAGATGCAACAGCTTCATGAAGAAGAAGTTAACTATCCAGGCAGGGGATAATGGGAAATTCGAATCATTTTTGAACTCTTAATTCCAGAAGTTACAAATTCTGCTTCCACTAGATAGCAAAATCTATATAATTCTCGCTCCTGTCTCATGTATTCTCCGATAGGATAAGGGAAAACTTTTTTTTTTTTTTTCAACATCTTTTCCCTTCAGATATTTCTATGCATGTTACTTATCTTGCAGGAATTGAAGTGATATTGAATTGCTATTGCGGGCAAAAGAAACTATTAAACTTCTTTTACATTAAGGATCGTAGCTGATATGCTCTAAAAAGAAAGGATTTGTGGTTATTCCTATTAGTGTAGTACTGTTGGTGTGTGTCAAAATGTGTTGGCACTGATATACGCAGAGCAAAATGTTCTGGAAATCACGATCATTAAGTAGATATAGTTCATCAATTAATAAGACTGCAGGTGGCTCGAAATTATAACAATGAACAGATTACCGAAAAAAAATGTAATTACTGACAGAAATCCCGAAAAAAAACTACAATTGTAGGAAAAGACTTATCAAGGCACCAAACAGCCAATATATCAGAGTCACATTAATAGAGACATCCCAAATATGAAAATATCTGATGTCGCACTTGGGTTTGATTCTTTAAATTCGAGGACTTGATGTCGTACTTTAGACTTAGTTCCTTAAATCTGAAGACCGAAATGACTGGCTCTACTGGCAAATGATAATCCGTCAGTCACATACTCACTACATATATATACATTAAAATTAAGCAAGCCGATATCACCACTGCCATTATGACCGAATCTCGTCGTTTCCTTGCCTGCATTTTCTGCATCACGCTATTTATCAGTGGATATTTCTCTGCAATATGATGTGCCGGATCAAACAAGGAAATACTTTTTTTATTCTCACTGTTCCCAAGTGAATTAGCAATATGTATATTTAATCTGCAAAAAATATTCCTTGTTAAAATTTTCTGATATTTATATGGGGGTTTAACTTTTCTTGCTAAATTTCTAACCATCACTGAAAGTAAATAGAATATTCGAAATTCATTGAGCTATGCAATGAATGAGAGTTCAAGTTGAGAGATCTGTGAGAGATGGAAGATCATGCTTGACTAATGGGACGTTGAATAAAAACTCTGGATGAATAATTATAAATAAATGCCAGTGCTTTCAAAAATAATTCATGGAAAAACTTACTGGCTAATGCGTTCATTTTTTTACTAATGTCTCGCAGGCTCATCCGCTGGTTATGGACATGTTCTTTCGCCGATATTGCAATGCTCAAAATGTTTTCAATCAACGGCAATTTTAACACAAATAAAACAAATAAAGAATTTAAAGAAAACATGAATGATGAACAATCATGCTTAATAACTTTTTCCTTCCCTAAGGTAATGAAAAAGTTACTGAATATGATTGTTTCAATGCTAACTTTCAAGTTCCGAAATAGATAAGCATAAATTTGCAAGGTTTGCCTATCTTATTATTGAAGTGTTAAAGCGAAGGAAAATTAAGAAATAAAACCTTGAGTTACCTAATTTGTTCATCTAAAAAGCGGTCGCAGTTTGATATGTGTTCACTCTCTTTTAAGTACATATCACTTGCTTTTGAACGATTATTGAGATATGAGCTCTCGTTCGAACCCCCGCTTAACAGACTTTCCCTGAAATAATCAAGTAAAATACTGCTCTCCTTTATAGAAGTAACAAAACTTCGACTAATATATAGCATGCTTGAAAAACATCCTGCAAAATAAAAAAGTGGCTATAAAAAATATTTAAAAAAGGTAGCAAAATAAAGGCCTTTAAAAAGAAATAACACAAACCTTTGCAATTGATTTCTTATATTATCATGTGATCTGTTATATTCCGCACAGTAATCACGCAATATTTCACGATGCCTTCTAAGTGTGTGCTGTAATGCTGGACCAGATGCCCATGCGCCAGTTCTTGAATTTGTCTGGCACTTCATTAAATATTCTGCCATCTGAAATTGTATTTTATTTGCTCATTTGAAAATTCCACATTAGAAGTAATATCTTTAATTTTCAAATTGGCAATAAAATTCATTCTTTAACAGCAAATTTTACCAATAGATAAATCGACTTTTAACTTGTAAAAGACACATTTTTAGCGGTAACTTTGCCGCTAAGCACTTCATCTATTATCAATATGTAAAGGGAAAAATTCATATGCAATATGGAAAGGAATTATTCTTATAATGCTAAATCACCAGTAATCAAGATCTGAAGATTTAAAAGAATAACTAATCTTTCTAATCGTTTCTAATCTTTCTAAGACACGAAAAAAAAGGCAAATGCCCACTTGATCGTCAATTTGTGTAAGTTTCGCAATCATGTTTTCTATTTCTGCTGACAATGAATCGAATATCTCCTGTTTACTGCTGACAGTTGCTTTGTCATTCAACAGTGATTCATATCGACCTGAAATAAACGATATGCCGAACATGAAGCATAAGTTTGGTTGAAGCACAATGATAAAAGACTATCGATCTTGCTATTCACAAAACTCTGAACTCCTCGCTGAGGAAAGATAAATTTCAGTGATAAATTCCGAATTCAGCCAAAAGTCTCAAAAACATATTAGCAACAGCTATATGTAGCTTTACCTGACGTACCAGAGGCCAACTTATTTAGCACTACTAATTTCACATCAATATGATTCTCAAGTGAGCGAGCGCGACGTCGGAGATCTGAAGACAATTACATTAGTCTAGGTAACTTATGTTTTGCAAAACCAAACTAAGTATCCCACCGTAAGTTTACAAAACTTGCAGTTGCAAGCCCATTTTCCTAGTTTTCTAACAGTGATTAGAAAGAAAAGCACTTACCGTCCCAGATTTCCACCATGGTTTTCGCAACAAAATCCTAAATAATTGCGGAGACTTACATTTCAAAATGGAAATACCAACACTTTTTTATTGAAAAACACATTCATAAACTGACTTTAATAATTAATTTGTTTTATCCTATTTATGAGAGGTGGACCATCCTAAATCAAGATATGAAAAAACCTCATGGTTGATATATCTAAGTAAAAACAATAAATTAAAAAAGTTAGAACACTTATCTTAAAGTTCTGCAAAATAATGACTTCAAAGGATTCACTTATACTTACTATTTACATGTTTCTTAAGCCTACAATGACCGATCCATGTCTAGTAAACAAGTCATTAAAAGACTGAAAATCACCATTAGATATTACAAGAGTCCATTCCAGCAAGTCGATGTAACAAATGAAATGTACGATGCAAAGCACTTCATTCATCAATCACATATACTCTGGGGAAGTTTCCTTAGATGAACTAACGAAAAGCTTTAAATGATATCAATATATAATATTATAAAATGATGAAATTAAAAAAAAAAAAAACGTGAAATACAGTGATAGCCGCATTTGATTTTGAACAATAAATTGCAATATCCAAATAGATTCAGACTGCCATTTTTTACGAATATAACAGAACACAAGTAAAAATAAATCAATTTACACCACATAAAACAATTTTCATAAAAATGTGAAACAAAACAGTATTAATCTTTCGATCAGCAAATGTCTTGCTAAAACGGCACACTGATAACTTCCAAGTCATTCAAATGAATTGATCTCCTCGATACACTGATAACTGTACACTGATAACTTCAAGTCATTCAAATGGATTGATCTCCTCGCTTATAACAAAGTTGTTTAGACTCCTCTAACAGTTTGGTATATGCTTTATTATTATTACCACCGTCCTGAAATGTTATCCAACACAGATGTACTTTACAATATTTTCTATTTTCTCTTATTCTTATCTATCGAAAAATGTTTTACTGCTTCCTAAGATGTTTCGCTTCCTGTAAGTCCGCTATGTATCATTCAACATAACAAACCATCTGCTGCAGCAATAGAGTGGATTTCAAATACTCTTCTATATGTTTCCTTTGTTCCAAACTAGACATGCGGCGATCACCATGCAAAGATTCGCATAGTTCCAGTTTTTTCGGTTGCTTCGACGCTGCCACTAAACAAACTGTAAATTTTAAAGTAAAAGAATTTAATATGCTGCCCCAAGAACAATAAACAATTTATAAAAAGTTACCATCAAAACCTTCAGATCGTACTTCATCGACGAACTTTTTGGAAAGGCAATCCAGAACAAGAATGTTGTCATCAAAAACGTCAGGGAAACAAAGTTTATCACGTAAAGATTTCGATTTTTGACTAAAAAAATTATGGTAAAATGCGAAATAAAAATAAGATAAATATTTAAACATTTAATAAGATATATACTTTTTAAAAAAGGATAACCGAGATAAACATTTTTAAAATCCAATCGAACAGCCATGTGAGTCTATAAAATAGTTAAATTTTCTTACTGGTTTTTATAAACTTTAAACAAACTGAAAAACTAATCAGCTTATAATAATCGCACCTTGTACTAGCACCCTCATCTTCTTCTACCAGCTCATCTTCACTGATATCAATTAACTGCTTCGGATCGACCACCGATGTAAGATCCAAAGGTTCAGTAATACCTCCTGCAACTTCACAAAACATAAATACATTCAAACAGAAAAATAATATTGCAGCAAAAAGAAAAATCAATCCAAAAAATATGTAATTCAAAATCAAGTTTTATGTACTCATCTGAGTAAGTATTTGATTTCAATTTTGAAACATTAGACTTCATAAAGGAATGAAATACGTAACCAGCTCATTCATCATATTCCCCGTCTACATTTTGACAGTCTTTAACTGAATAACTGCAACAAACCATTATCATGTTCATCATCCGAGATCTGATCGCATCGTACTTCATCTTCGGACACTAAACTCAATTCACCATCTTCTTCAACAAGTGAACCTACTTCACTTTGTTTCGCATCTGAGTCATCAGAAATTTCTTCAGTGACTAGAATCTTCGTTTTTTTAACTGATGGTGCTGAATCCCCTGTAAAGATATCACAACTATTTTTCAAAATTGTATGTAAGCATATCACATATAGTGATTAAAATACTTCACTGAATAACATGAAAGCGTAAAGAAAAGAGTGTTTGAATAATTCAGAAATAAGAATCACTCGAGCAATTATATAACCAGAAACCTATTAAATTTTACAATCGAACAAAACGATAATCAATACCAGAAATTAAAAATCCATAACGACAATGGCAATAAGATTGTTCGGATCAAAAATTTCCAAGAAACCTTCAAAAAAAATGCCGACATTTTTAGATTATAAAATAGAAGCTAAACAGAAACTAAACCTTCATCATCAGAACTTGAAATTTCATCGGCAATAACATCGTCCAATTTGAGGGGCTTTTCATTGTTCTTTCCATTTTTGTTATTTTCTTCATTATCATCGTCGCTAACAGCAAGCATCCTTTCTTCTGGCAGGAAACTCGATTTTTTAAACCGTTTGTGATTACTATCTCCCACTTTTTCGAAGTTTTGATGTGTTTCTGAAATTCAGTTTCATCATCGCAATGATACAATCTAAAATTTTTAACAAATATGATGGATGAGTCCACGGAGCAAGAAAAAGTGTTTGGAATGTGAATTGCAAACTTCGAAAAGAATACATCAAAAATGCTAACAATTGTAACTATTATTCTGAATTCCACCAGTGGAATGAAATTTTCTGATGAAAAACCCAAAAAATAAGTTTAAAATTATGCAATAGAGACCAAAGAAATAACTTTAATAAAATGAAGCAGTATTTAAAGTCATGTAATCTGCAGAATAGTATTTTTAAAAGTATTTGACTGTTTAATCCACGAATGAAATGTTCAGATGCGCATTTTTTATAAAATTGCAGTACATAATAAAACAGTTCAAGAAGGGTCTTTCCTAATAAAATTTTATTATCTAAAATGGAACATTTATCTCACTGATATATTTGTGATGACTATATAGAATATGGTTGTTCTAAGTTAAGTGCAACTATCAAAATTTTGTAATCCATGCAGCAATGAATGAAAGAGAAAAGTAAAATTATTGATAAAGTCCAATAAGAAATATATAGAATCTCACCTTCACAAAAACTATTCCGTCTGTTTTCTTGTCGATCATTACATGATGTTCCAATTTTTACGATAAAATCACCGCCAACATTGATAGCAGCCCTCGAAGTACTACCAAAAATTGACTGGCTTCTCCGAGGTACAACCACTGAAGACTTTGGCTGCAATTTTTATTGTTTCGAATGCAGAAAATTATGATATGAAAGCTTTAACATCATAGCCGTTGAAAATGCTAACCGCTATGATGTAACAACAAGGAATTGAATGCAGACCTTTTTTCCTTCTTCCTCTAACATCGTGAGTTCTCGTTGAATTTCAATTAAACGTTGCTCCAACTGATGGCATGTTGCGCTTGAGCTTTCAACTAAATTATTAAGCAATTCAATATGAATAATCATATCAAACTCAAGATCACACACCAAGCGTTACTTAACTCAATTTTTAAGCTAAGTACTAATAAATTTATTATGCTATTCCAGATTCTAATAAAAACGGTCTTGATCAATTAAAAAGAATGAATTCAAAGAGATTGTCAATTAATAAACAGTACAAGTACAACATACTTTCATTTATATAAGGTTTTTGCGCACTGCCTTCTATTTCATTACACTGGGGTTTATTAATTACCATCCGTTGCAGCGACTGCTGTTGCTTGGCTAACAAATTCGGATCATGAGAAAATTTACAACTTTCACCATAATGACAATCTCCGAATTTCGCGAACGCATAACAAATTTTGTTCACATGTTTTACTGCTCTGTAATTAAAGTTAATTGCCTCCGGTCGTTCTCGTACGTAAAAATGAACAATCTCATTTAGCTGAAAACTAGAAAAGACAATATCTTTTTGGTTTACAAATTTTTCTTTCTACAGTAGTAAAATACATCATAGTAATATATGATATGCAAAAACTGTTATATATCTATCAAAGCACGTATAATTTAAAGATTTTCAACTGCAGCCGAATGTGAAAATGAAATAGGAAACGAATGATTAAAGCAAATACAGCAATAACTGCTAAGAAATCATGACTCCTATTTAGGGGTGTCAGCGACGATGTTATTACTCACTTCTCTCGTTCTTTTAATTCATAAATTGATTTGGGCCTATTTTCCTTTGCTGGCTCGCTGCTAACATTCTGCGCGCAGCCTATCTGGTCATTCAAAGAATTCGTTCCATAATTGCCCATATAGGTGTCGGAATAGAAATTTGTTGCATTCGTTTGGTACTGCGATTCACTGATAGCCGAATTTTCCATGAAGCCGCTAAAATTGCTACTTTCCACGGATTCGAAATCTCCGAATGTGCTATTATAACCTTCTGACAAAAACTGTCGGCGATTAACGCCCTATAAAAAAATATTGCTTAGAATTTTATAAACTGACTCCATTTCATCACTTAATAATATTCTACAACTGCAATCTAGTTAAAATCATCAAAGAAAAAATAAATGGATATTAAACTATGCAGGATAGTTAATCATAATTTATGATTGAAAAAACAAGAACACAATATTTGAGTTGAATACATGAACATAATATTTGAACTGAAGGTAAGTGTCTATTCTTATAACATAATGCAATAATCTTACAGTTATGTGCTGAAAAAACATTATGCAGTTAATATCAACTTGTTAACAAAGCATACCAATGAGCCATACATATAACAGTTATAGTTCGAAATAATAATATGACAAAAATATATCTACCAAATTAGGAAGCTAATTAAATATCAAAAAGAATAAATAAATCTTCACAAAGAAAAATTTATTTATTAGATTAAATAACTGCTACTGCAATGAATCATAAAGATAAGACGAACGAAAGTCCATCCATCAGATCTGTTCAAAAAAATAAAAGGAAGAAAAATTCACCTTCCCGGGACTTCGATGTAAACCGGTAGAGCTCGTGGTTGGTATCGTCTGTGTCTCATCACATTCTTCGAAATCATCCAAATACTTTGCATACGTTGCTGGTGGGCTTGGACTTTTCTTTAACATTTCCTATAAGTAGCATAATTATGAAATCTCGAGATCTTTTACTTAACAACATAACTATGAAATCTTGAGACTTTTTACTCCCCCCCACAAATATTCCAACGACGAACACTTTTGAAGATTTTTAGCTGCATTTCAGTCCATCGGTGAAGCCTATTGCAGCCTATGTGACATGGAGTATTTTAAAGTTTTGAAAAAATTCGATTTTGGCACTAACATCGGATATTGTCCATGGTCTTCTTCTACCTATCTCCTCTCCTTACAATATATATTGTATAGTAATTACATGCCTAAGTGCGGTAAAGAAGTAAACGAGCCTATCCGTGTATAAGAAACACTTCGTTTTTTGTTAAAAATGGATGAAATGTATAACATGACTGTTGTAATGCACGTGCGAAAACCACAGAACTTATGGATAGCGATAGCCCCTCATCTTATCGTTCTCAGTTTGGTTCAGCGAAGTTTTCTCGTGTGCGATGGGTTGATTTAGGAGGACAGCAAAAAAAATTCCTGACCACGACGTATGATTCTCGAAGTAAAGAAATAGCTGCATGGTCATTTGTTGAAGGTTAAGTTCTCTTTATTTTCATTTGTTTCTTTTGTTCATTTTGTTCTTTTTATGATGTGTGAAGATAATATATTCTAATATGTCACTGTATATTTTATAAGCAATGTTATATTTCACTTGATCACTAATGACGTAGTTTGAGAATTCGATTTCATTTCTTTATGATTTCACTTATATGCTTTTGTAATTTATTATGTTTAATTGTGTTTAACGTACAGCGTTTATAAAATAAGCAGATATAACTGAATTTCCGAGGAAGTTTTCTTTTATAGTCGCAGCCATAAGCATAGTATTTTTAAGGAAAGTCATTAGCATAAAAATAATAGTTTGTAATGGAAATTATCTCTCAATCCGCTTCACTTTATTCATCAATTTTATAAATATTAATTTTGCGCTTTGTTTATTCAATCTGATCATTATTGCATGTTTAGATGCTGGATTATCAGATGATTTATTCTCATGCGAATGCAAATTGTTTATCGATGCAGACGTGAATGATTTGCTGTAAGTAATATCTCTTTTTTATAGATTTTGAGAGCTGCCGTATTTTTTTGACATCACCAGTCTTTTATTTGGAGAATGCGTTATGTTAATAAATGAAGTCTTTGTTGTTAGGTTTCTTCAAACTATTAATTTAAAAAGGTAAATAAAATTTTACAGACTATATCATAGTACGAAATTCGCGGCTGCGATGAGCGATGGTTCAATAAGGTTACTGGAATATGATTCAGGCGTCATTAAACCCACGAAGAAATACACTAATATATATAATACTTGTTCTTATAATGCATTATGTTATAACAATGATAAGATCATCAGTGGTAGTGAGGGTGGCAATTTGATAAGTATTGATTTGGAAGGCAATCGCAAGGAAATTGTGCATTTGGTTTGTTTATCCACGATTTTTTCCAAATGTTTGGTCGTAATCGAATTGTCATTTCCTTTAACTTTTTATCTGACCTGGGGATATCATTTTTTCATTATTCTTAATCTGTCAAAGGCCTTACATTTTTCTTGACTGCAGAAGCTTCTTGTGCACTTTATATCATAACATTTTGAAATACAAAATGAAGCTGATAATTTCATCATTAAGTAACACTTGACACGGCTAATGTGATTTTGTACTGAATAACACAACGAAATGATTTTGTATTATCCTTGTACAAAATTTTTTCGTTCTTTTGGACTTGAAGAAATGCTGGTTTATATCATTCTTTACTAACCGGTCATTCATAACTGATAGCACCCATATTTTAAGCTGTCGTTGTAATTTAAATTCTAAAAGGATCAAGTTGCATTTGCAGAGTATGGCAAGCGTACGCTCCTTAGCATCGATCTCACGGGATGTATTTGTGTCAGCCCATCTGGATGGGCAAATCTGTCTATGGGATCTCAGAGTAGAGACCAAATCACCTCGCCCTGTATTTTCCTGCAGAGTCACGGACTGTTTCCAAGGTACTACTTCACTTGCTGCCCATCCTGCCGAGCCTAATTTGGTTAGTTTCTCTGCTTTCGTATATTTTTTAAAAGTTAGTTGTGAATCATATACCGTCAATTAGTATTCTGTGAATATTTTATGTAAAATTTGTATAGGTTGCGAGAATTATAGATTGGGTTTGGTACCGAGGATGGTAGTATTGGCTTTCTCGATACACGTCGAAGCAATTATTTGTTGAATACTGTTTCAGTTTTTTTTCCAGTTGGTACAGTATGGGAGGTTAGTGCATTTCCATGTTATGTATTGGTCAAAATTTCAAGAAATGCGTTCATGGAAATTTCATGCTAATGCCGTCTGATATTCGCGAGTAATCCATTTATTTTGAAAATTGAGTGTTCAAAATTTTTGCAGGTAGCCTTTCATCCAATTTATCCATCAAATTTTTACTGCGCAACTGGTAAAGGTCATTTGTTGCATTTGAATATCAAAGGATCTGGTCTTTCCAAGTATGTTTAGTTGTGTATACTTCATAATAACATCATTTTTAACAGTAATATGTATCTAAGAGGCGAATATACTAGTCTTCGACGGAAAGAATTGTACTTTAGAAAAGGACTAGGCTTTTCGGTGAGCTTTGCACCTGGCCGCCTGTTGCGTAAGCTATATTACACATTTTTTTTCATACCACTAAAACTGTAAAATTTGTGAATTGCAGTTCGACCTCAAATCATAACAGTCAAGCGCGAGCAAATGCATGGCTTTCACCTGGGAATGCGAATGTTACTGCTCTTATTGATTGTATGATATCAGTAAACACTTTCAGCATATCGACGAATGGAATTATCGCGTGTTCAGACAATCAGATGATTACTTATATTGACAAAAAATATCTGGCTTAATTCTTTAATCATTTCACTCTGTTTTATTTCGACAATTTATTATTTCAATTATGTGACATATAAGAATTTTTGCTTAGTATCAATGTCAAACAAAATAATTTTTACCAAGCTAAGGGGTCATAAAAGTAAATAAAATAATTTATTTCTGTTATGTATTTTCAAGCCTTTTTCCTGGTGATTAAGAGGAATACGTCGTCGAATTCAAACCATTTGAAATTTTCATTTTTTTCTACTGTCATATTGTTTTCCTGAAATATATGTCGTTCTTTTTATTGAAAACTATGGTTCAGAAAATTGGATTATTGCATTTTAAACATGACAATAGATAGCTCCGGTATTTATACTGAATAGATTATCGTTTTTTTTTCCTTCTTTAAAATACAGCAATAGTGAAATGTTTTGAATAACTTTACAAAATTAACCTTTAGAGATTCGATAACTTGTTCTCTGGTCAAATAATGACATTTGTACCGTCTGCTTCCGAAATAATAGTCATTTGCTTGGAGAACTCCACCTTGTATCTGAATTATCAGTCGAAAATGTAATCATTGGTTTTAGGCAGTTTACTCCGGAATTTTGAGAGAATAAGATGAAGGTTCGAGCTTCCACATCAAATGAAATAAATGGCAACTTCACAGAAGGGCTGAATAAAAAAGGAGCATTCTTGGCTATTATAAATAATTATGTTTCATTTGCTTCAAGCTTTGCGATTTATTTCTTTCCATTCATCATAAAGGCGAGAAAAACTCCAACAGTGTGGTCAGTAAATCTCGAGGAATTAAAATGAGAAGTTAGGTGCTGATTATACGCTAAATCAAATGATAAACTACTTGTTGGTAGAGGTATTTCAAAATATTTTTAAATGGTTAAAACTGACCAAAAATCCGTTTGGTTCGATCAAGTTTACCGCATTACGAACTGCATGACGATAACCTTCGAGATTTTCGCTAGAATATTCTAAGCAAAATATGGACACAACAACATGAAATTGTTGTGGAATATCATCGTCCTCTGAGCATTTATAATGCACACATTTGATGATTGGTTCAGCATGCAGATCAACCTGAAACTCGTGCAGTATGCTTATTAGCCTGAAATTATTTTTTATATTCCTATCAATATAATCGATTTTCTTTCACCACAACATGAATATATATTCATTTTTCAATGCTTGGAAATTTCTTCGAATTGATTTATACATTTTTTAATTGATAACGGATATCTTTTTTCACTTATTACGATGTAAAACTTAAAAATTTGTAAACATTCAAAATTACTCTCAGAACAGCTTTGAATCTGCTACGAGCGTCCTGTTCCATGAGATCTGGTGATTCATTTGAATTTTCAATAGACGCTATCCATTTGCATACTTCTGTCCACTCAAATAATGACTTATTTTCAGCCCAACTTCTCAACATATCACAACTCTGTTCTGCACAATCTGCACTATAAATGTGCTTAGCATGTTTCCGGAATATTATTGGCACATAAACAGTAGGACCTAAATAAAATGAGAGATGTAGTAATTTTTGTAATTAATTTTGGAAGAAAAATAAATTTAAAATGTTTGTCAAATAATGCAAAAATATCTTTGTAGATTTTGCAAACTGTGCTGTGACACAATTGCATATTTTATTAATGGGTTGTTTTATTTAATATAAAATACTATTAAATAAATGTAATTCAAAATGTAATTTGAATGTAATTCAAAAAATGGATAATTGAGCAATTTCGACAGATTTTTTTTTTGCTGCTTGACTGCAAAAAAAAGTGTAGCAATAAATCATAAGTAGAAAAGACAAAAAAACCAGCTCCAAGATCGAGTAGTGTTCGAATTTTTTCCGGAATCCAATAGAGAATTCCGGGAAGAAAGAAAAGTATGGTATGCATTGCTACATCTTTTGTTGGTGCGGAATAAAATGCTTGAAGATACTCGTCCGGATTGAACTAAACATATTCTCATCGTTGACAAATGTTAAACGGAAGTTAAACAGAAAAACTGAATTGTGATATGAATGCGCATCCGGAATCTATTGATTGCAATATTTACATGACCTTAGCACAAAATCCTCTTACTAGCTTAGATCAACATCCAAATGCATTATCAAACAACTTATCATCATTTTTTAGTTAATTAATGTTTTAAAAATGAATCACTTTTTGCTATTTGAAAAGCTTAGAATAATGAAGAGATTTGAATTTACTATCGGTTAAGAATTTATTATCTACATTAACAGCATGTTCAGAAGCCGAGCAAAGTTTCGGAACTCTATCATCCACCGATACATCATTACGCGAAATTTCATTCGGGACAATTTGCTTTTCTTTCCATTCTTGTGAAATGGAATCGATAGTGGAGGATGAAGTTATCTCTGAATTAGCCATCACATCTGTACTGCCATCAAGAATTTTTCTTTTTCAAAGTTGTTTTTTCTAAAATAATGTAAAGTTTTTAAAATGTGAAATAATATTATGTAGTTAATTTTAAAAAAGTAAAATAATGAAATATAGAGATATGTAGAAATAAGAGATGAGAAGTGTAATGAAAATAAATGAGAGTGTGGTAGAGTTCGTTGAATTTAAAAAAGTAAAAGAGAAGATGACGAAAGCTGCTTGGCTTCGAACATTTGTTTGTTTATGATCTAACCTCCCATGAATTTCAATCACTACGAATTGAAAGAATTGATCAATGAATTTCATGCTCAACAGGTGACAAATTGATATATAATGAATAAACTACATTTACAAGTAGTAAATACAATTAACTTATGGGGGAGAAAAATTTCAATTAATTAATTAGTTCCTAAATAACTAATTGGTTCATAAATGATCATTTTGAGACTTAACAATTAGTTGCTTAATTATTATTTAACAAAAAGGAAACAAATATCCTTTGAGAATAGTTCAGCACGATTTGTATAACCCTTTTTTTTCGTATTTTTCAACTCTTACTTTAGGATTTAATTCTTCTGGAAATGAAATTAATAGGATAATAAAAATTACAAGCGGGTAAGATGACAAGTATTCAAATAAATATAAAATATCAATGTAATGTAACTCGCTTATATATGAAATAATGTTACATTTATTTTTAATTTCTGTATGTAGCAACTGGGAATATAATAATACAGATTCCGATTAAATAATTCTGATTGAGGTAGCACTTTCCTCCAATTCTGCAACTCTGGGCTATTTCTAGTGATAAAGTTGCATTGAGAAATTCTTGATCATAATTTAAGAATATCTTTCCAGTTAACATGCAAAAGCTTAGATTTCATTCTTGATTTAAATTAAAATTTCAAAACTAACCCATCATTCTGAGCCAATATCAATATATAAGCCACAAATCTAAATCTCGATTATAATTCTAAGCATCGGAAGCATAGCTTGAGCAACAAGAAATATCTCTTTCCCATTGCTTATTGTAAGCTAGAAGATATGACTATGTCAAAAAGTTTGTTAAAACTATGACGCGAAAGTATCAGCAATAAGATTTAATAATGCTAGCTATAGTCCTATTGTAGTTAATTATAAATTCTGATAAATGCATGGGATGGGAGGATTTATTTCCTTATATATTTCAGTGTCGGAATATGCAGAATGGAAGACGAATGAATAGTTTCCAAGCGACAGTGAAAAAACCCACCGTTAGCACTACTTCAAACATTGCGCTGTATGTTATAATTGTATAGCTGGACTACTGCTTTTGATCAGCAGATTATTAAACTTTATTAAGCTTTTCATAAGAATAGTACTGGCATGAAGAACTAAGAATTTTTGCACCACATTTATTGGGCATTTTAAATTAATGAAATAAGAGTAAAGTAGAAAAGCATGGTTTGTTTACGATACAAATAATTCGACGAGATCAAGAATGAAACAGAACAATTAATAGTGAAGTTTGTTTATAGGCAAGTGTAAAATTTGAAGAGATCTATCAGAGAATGTGCAATCACTCCAGTAAGCTTGATTTTTTCTTTCTTTTATTTTGTAATGAGTATGGTATTTGTGTCTTCATCCATTCTGGAATATTTCGTTTGCTGGTATTCTCGCTTGAGGTAACACTACAAGACGTTTCTTTTGAATCTTCAACACCATATTCATATTCCAAGATCGCAAAAATAATTTTCAGTCGATTGTAGTCTATGAAATCTTTTGGAAGTGCCTCCATAATAGGCTTCAGACGTGAAATGTCTGCAACAATTAAAATTTATTAATTAGAGGAAGAAGTTGTACTGCTAGTGTCATGCTATATAACTATTCAATAATCAGATAAATCCTCCAATTCTACATAACTTTTGACATTAGGCATTACTTTCCGCTTAATGACAGGTAAAAATTAGGTAAACATAGATAACTTCGGCAGTTTATTGACTGGAAATCAATGAATGGAAATGATTTACAATAAAAATGATTTAAATAAACTTTTTCATAGAAATCGTTAAGCTCGAAAGACGGAAATTCGTAGATATATCTTTGTTACGTCTTTTTTATGGATAAATCTCTCTTCTAACGTTCACTGGCTACGAAACGAGCTATAAAAATATGGTCTCTTTCTCTTCGGTGACAAATAAACTCATCAATGGAGCTAAAACAGCGGCGGCATTTGAATAGTTTTTACGTATTCAGACGCCACTGAATTTTTAACTAGTCCTAAAAGCTGATAGTCTTATGTAAGAGCATTAAACTTCTAGTAGCTTCCCCCATTGATGCCAAGGATTACCCGATCCATGTTCTCGGATAGTACCGTAAACAATATCTATATGCTCTCTTTTTATCCCAACAACATCCAGATATATCGGTAAACCATTCCTCAGAAAATTCACAAAATATGAAGCCACGGTTCCTTCGCTTATAGCACGCGACTCCGCCAAATCACTCTTTAATCAAACAATGTGCATTTCAATTAATATTTCAATGAATGAACAATGGTATTTTACTCAAATAATCATTAGATAAATCCGATAAACATATCTATTTCAAAAAGTGAACTAAAATTTTTTCTGGAATTCCCAAACTTCAAATGTAATTTAAGAACATGATAATTAAAAATTCTATAATAATCCTCAGTTCAAAAAGAATCCTGGAAGCACTACAATCACATTCACTTTCACATGTCATTTCTCCCACAAATTCTGTTTTGAGTATAAAAAGTTTTTAAGATATAGATTTGTACTGATAGCGATCGATAACTAACCATTGATAGTTTTTCCCTGATATGATTTCGATAAGCATCAGTACAAACTTCATTCAGTGCGCTCATTCCTTTCTCTATCTCTTGCGGTAACTGAAATCACGCCTATTATTTACAAACACAACAAATTTTACTAACATGTTATCTCTCTATATTAATCACTTGCACTGTTATCTAATCAATTAAACAAACTCATTTTTCATTCAACAACGATATGCACCGATTCTCTATTCCATGAATTCAGTTATATAGTCCTTTTATGATAAGAACTATCTCATGGGTCTCCGTCTCGCTTCTACAAAGAAGCATATCAAACGTACAGCTGAACTGGTCATGCAATCCAACGATATATTATGCGCAGTGCAGAATTCTATAACTGTATTGACAAGCTTCTTTCCAAACTTTCGCTGTCTTTCCTCCGTCATTTCTCCGATTATGGACAGATTCTGGACACTGAAACGGTCAAGATTTCCAATGAAAAACTACTGAATGAATTTAAAAACTTAGTTGCAGAAACTTTTTTATTTTAAATGCTAAGATGTTTACATTCAAGTTTCCTCCTAGATGAGAAAAATTCATACAATAATACTTGCTTTTTATGATGCATTCAACAATTCATTCACTGTTAAGTTTTATGGACAAACCAAGATGGTCGTAGCGTTGCTAACTGTTGGATACATTTATTTGATGCAATAATGTGAGCGCTACAATTATATTCTATAGCCAGATTTGTACGGGTTTCAAATAACACTTTTTCGAGTTGATCCTAAAATAAATATATAGTTATATAAGTGTTTATACGATAATCTAAGCCTCGAGAGCGAAATTTAATCCTTGCTGCTGACCAATAAGAAATTGAAACTATCGCTCGAAATTCCTATATCTTTAATCACTTACAGAAGCAGTGATGTCCTTCGAGTGCATTAATTCGCCATAACAGCTGCAATCCTTCCATTCACGCTGTTTTGTGAAATTTAATATTCTGAAATATATACACTGACGATGAATAGACAATGTTTTCATTTTTCAAAACGTATTAGCATAATTTTCGTTAAAGAAAAATATTAGAAGAGTGAAGCAAAAATTTACTTGGAAAGAAGTGGTTCACTATTTCGAGATATGTGATGTTCGTGATTTACTCGATTTCGACCAATCAACAAAGGCGTTGGTTCAAAGTATAGTTCCTGAAATTCTGAGAATCATCAGAGTGATTTTTTTTCTTCGTTTTGTACTTGTTTCAGATAATTTTCAAGAATTATGTGACTTTTTTGTTTTAAAATTTCAATAGTAGAGATTAACTGGATATGGAAGTAAAATACTAATGCGAACTTTGTACATTAGTAAAGAAATAAAATATAACCCTGTTCTTCCCGTACAACCAATTTTGTCCTTTATCAGAAAGCGATATAAGATGAGCAAAATTGTTAAAGGAGCTTTTTGTCTCAATGATATAACCATTCATTCTAAGTATGCGTCCCAGTTCCTTCCAAAAAACTTCTGTTTTATGCTTTCCCGATCCATAATATTCGCTTTTTTGTTTTGCTTGACTAACGTTTGCTTTCTGCAATAATGATAATTCATGCCACAGAAAGATATTTCTGTACCATCGGAATGTGAAATAATCGATAATTATTATTCTTAACTTTGAGAATATAACAATTAGCAGCTATTGTAAAATTAATTTCAAATATAAAATATTTAATCAGTGATTAGTATACGTTAAATATTTTCCTTTCAATGCGAAGAAAATGGCATCATATTTAACCAGTGATTAGTATATATAAAACTTTTCGTTTTATTACAGTGAAAATAAACTTCACCCCTTTGACGAAATCGATCACTTTTCCTAGACCAGTATATCCTCCAAAAATGTTTATAGCTCGAAGTAATATCAATGCTTCATCACCATAATTTGTTGAATTAATTAATGAACGACTGATAGTATTATTTTCAGAACCAATGAGTTGATCGCATATATCACAACATCCTGCACTTGCTGCTTTTTTTTTCATGCGCTCATCAAAATGAGATAGAAGCATACTAAATAAAAGAGTTCTTATTTTGAATTCTCGATTAAAATAATTTTTATTTTTATAATATTACCAATATCTGTAACTGTGCTATATAATATTTAATAATTAGAAAATTTGTCTGGTTTTTAGAAGAGAACTACTCTCAGTTAGCAGCATCATTAAATTGAACTAATCGAATAGCTAGAATCTTATGTAGCCTTAATTCTTAAGCACTTATTTAGGGACAAACTTTTAAAATAACAACAGTGGTACAGCAGTCAGCACTGGCATCAAATTGCAAAAATATAGTTAACCACTATTTTTCATGCAGTTCTATCCAAAATCTACTACACACAAATATAACTTGAAATAGAAATTCTGCAAGTTCTCTAAAGAATGTTTCGAAGTGTGCATGAAGAATATGAAAAAAATAAAAAGAAATGGTATTAACAATCGTCTACAGCATGCCGCGTGAAGAAACTGTTCCATTAACGAGAGCATTTCTAATAGATGCTTCCTATACTCTTCTTTTAAACTTTGTTCCCCAAATATACAATATCTGAAAATGAATGAAACATAAATAAAAACTGTTTTTTTTTTTGCTTTTTACCCTTTTATGATATTAATCAGTAAACAATGTTACATCCTCTTTTATTACATATTAATTCTAATGATCTATTTTGAAATGTTAAATGTGTCCCGTACTATTAACGATAAAGTAGCAAGGGATAAGAAATGGAAAATAAACATGAGAAGTTGTAAAATAACAACCGATGTTTAGTTAGTTCTTGATCCTTGTAAAATACGATGCATTTGCTGGGACAGCCATCACGGCCTGCTCTTCCAATTTCTTGGTAATAGCTTTCCATATTTTTTGGGGCTAAAACTTGCATCGATACAAGAAAAAATTATTGGCATGTTACTGGTTAGCAAATCCACAATCTTTTAGTCAATGCTAATAACTGGAAAAATGTGATGAAAAATATACAAAATAATAACCTCCATAATGGATAACATTACGTACGTCCGGTTTATCAATTCCCATACCGAATGCTACAGTTGCAATAATTGTTGTTATGCGATCTTTCATGAAACATTCGTGAGCTTTTCGTTTTGCTACTGCTGACATCCCTGCATGATATCGCGCACACTTCACTCCTTCCTCTGTATTCTTTGAAGTTTTAGTGTTTTCATGTTTATGAATTTCTGAACTGCTTAAGATGGAATACCTCTATTAACATCATATTAAAATTTATCTCAAGAAGTCACCAGCGCTAAAGTATTTATTAAAAATGGAGCCCTTACTAGACAAACATTCGTAAACTTCGTCAACCAAAGTACGGGTGCAACAATAAATAATCGTTGAACCATTGAAATGTTTTCCATTTCTTTCATCTTCGCTAAGTAAATGTAATAATCCTTCGATACTTGTTGGAGTCCGTACGGACAAATACAAATTTGGCCTAAAAATTTAAGCAGGACTCCCGGAATAATTATTAAAATGAATAGAGTTTTTTACGAGACATAGAGAACCATATCAAACACGATTTAAAATCATGTATTATCAGCAATAGCAACAATCTTGATAATTACTGACAAGTTTCTGACAGAGATATTCATATGTATAAAAAAATTATAAATTCTGATGGATTAGACCTATCCAGTGGCGCGAGTGTGATAATTGGTTGATGAAGTTCCAAACTGCTAGCAATATCCATTCTGACTCGTTGTGTAGCTGTTGCTGTAAGTGCCATCACTGGAACGTTTTTACCAAAAAAATCGCGGACTTTTGCCAACTGCCGATAGCTGGGCCGAAATTCGTGTCCCCACTCAGAAACACAATGCGCTTCATCGACTGCCAGCAAATTAACATCTGAAATTGATTTATTCAATCTATATCGTTTACAAATAATAGCTTACTAAATACTCAGCCGAGTACCACAAAGGGAATATGCAATATGTAAATTCAGCTGCGAACTAATTAACTAGTTAAGTATTAAGCACGGATTTTATATTGCATGATTTCTTTCTACAGATGGTTTTTACAGATTAAGCTTACTTTTATGAATTTGTTTTAACAATGAACCGCAGTGAACAGCAAATTCAGGAGTGATATAAAGCAAGCATAGATCATCAGATGCAAGGATTGACCGTTGATCATCTGAGTTTGTTTCGCCACTTATGCAAGCTGCTTGAATACCATTGCTGCTATAATTATTTCATGAATTTTGATTTCTTCTAAAATCCGATAGTATGCAGACACAATTTATACACTTCATGATGATATGAACGTAGTGATTCACCGAGCATTTTCTACTTGATCATTCATGAGAGAAATCAATGGCGATATAACAATCGTTAATTTTTCAGTATACAATGATGGCAACTGGTAACAAACACTTTTACCATAACCTGAAATAAATCGAATAATCAATGAATAATCGTTAACCACTAAACAAGTATAAAAATTTCGAGAAAAAAAATGTACCTGTGGACATCACTACTATTTGATCTTTCCCGCTCAATGCATTTTGAATCACTGTCCATTGCAAAGGTCGGAAGCTATTGTGGCCAAAGAATTTCTTAAGTAATCGAAGAGCATTTGCAGGTGGTACACAACCAGTGTCCATAAATAAAATTGATCCTATAGTTATTAATAGGGATAGTAACAGATTTTTCTCGCTTCCTCTTTAGCACTTAAAAGTTCAAGTGCAATGATGGAATCTGAATAAAAACTCATTCTAGGATGATTGAACTTTAGGGATATACTTAGTACCCCTCGTAATAAACTTTCCTGTAATTGCAGAGCTAATTTGAAATTCAGTATAATACACTGAAGAAACAATGTAAAAAACCAAAGTATAGATGAATTATTATTCAAAATTTTATTGACATAGCCTGTCAATTAACAACAACCGAGAACGTAATACATCGTTTTTAATAATAAATTACCATGAGATATATTTTATATACTTTAGTAATAATACACTCTATGAAGAAAAGAAAGAAAAGAAAAACCAGTAAGATTTTTTAAAAATATCTCTAACCTTTTGAGATAATTGCCTCAAAAAAATAGTAGAAATACAGAAGAAAGAAGCAGAAGTCAAAATGATTGAACTTTTGACAAAATCTTAAAATACATGAAATTAATAGTTTTTGCACGATTAGGGAAGTTTACATAAACCAATCAAATCAACAACAAAAGTTCTTTTTAACGAAACCGAATTTGTAATGCCCGTGATAATATTGTAAACACACACAGACTGTGGACGAACAATTACCAATGAAAACATTGCATGGCGTAATGGCGTAATAGCGTGTATCAACGTATAGCATGATAGAGCAAGCATATCATAAAAGAATGAATATTGATTGATCGAATTAATAAGAGGAAAAGACAGAAAAAAGATCTCTTGAACTACGCAACGTGCGCTAAGATATAAAATGATTAGCGAATATCAGAAATTATAACTACGCTAGATTTCTCTTTCATAAAGCTGAACAAAAAGCAGAGTTACGAAAAGAATGGAGTCATAGAATATTTTTTACAACAAACATAAAACTGAATAAAGCTACGATCATTCTATTATCTCAGGTGTCGAATGGATTCAGTTTAAGCAAATCAAATAAATAATATCTGATTATCTCAAAGACAAAAGCTCGGCGAAGCTGTTGGAAAAGTTGTTCCTGAGGTTTACAGCTTGAGATCGGGAAAAGTGGGCTGATAGAAAAAATTAGTAGTGTTATAATTTACATAAACAGAACAAAACAGGAAAAAAACAAGCGAAAGCTATTAGGAACGGTATGAACATATGGCTTGTATCCTGCTCAGCATAAGGATCTTCCACTAAAGGCTCATCTTCGAAACGATTGACCTCAGTGTGCAATTTGACATCTGCCTTTTCATCAAATTCCTCCTCTTCTATTTCCTCATCAAATGATACGTCTTGCAGAGGCGGGATATCCTTAAAAAAGGTCGAAGAGATTTGGAAAAGCTATTCTATTTGATCTGATACGAAAGCTTCACCATTTTTTTTATAGTTTCATTAAATTAATTAAAATAAAATTTCAAATGAATTACCGTTTTGGGACCACGATAAATGTAAAATGCATTTATTTTTGGATTATCCAAAGCACCCTGAAAAATGATATTATTTCAATAACATACAACTTTTAACTAACGCTTTTCCCCGAAATTACTGTAAGTTTTGTAAGGTACGAATGCGACAAGAACGACATATGGAAAAGAAAACATACCTTAGCTAATGTGATTCTGATGTATCCAGATGAATCACGTCGATTTCCATATATTAGAACACCATTTTCAACCTGTGTTGTATAATTATAATATCCCATATTTCTAATTTTTTAAATCTACACAAGTGCAAAGAATTTAGGAAAACTCCAAGAAAGAGGAGTGATTTAATCTATATTATATACATACCTTTTGAACTTTTAAATATAATGTTTAGCTTCCAGTTCATAATAGCATTAGAAAAATAACTTTTTTGAGAAAATCCTTTTTTCTGTGGAGAATAAAAAGTATCCATAACCAAAATAATGAGTGAGAAATGCTAAGCTTATGAACATATCATCTTAAAATTAAGATTACAGAAATACTACGTTCCATTTTCAAAAATGGAGTAAAATTCAAGTCATTTACATGAAATGTCAATAGACGATCATAAGCAACTCCAATGCCTTCCGCTTCCTTGAATATATCTAATTCTGCGATCACTACTTCGTCGTTAAGTAGAACATCAAATACCTAAAAATTATACAATGAAGGAACACCTAACTGCAATGGCTTTCTCTAATAATTATCCAATAAACTTTATGAGGTAAAAATAGAAGCAAATGAACTCTCACTTTTTGCTGCGAAGACTGAAAATAAACTTCACAAAATTTGAGAACCAATGTGTATTCGCCATCATCTTTTGGTAATGGCACCGTATAAGTGAAATCTTTTGTGTGATATCTGAAAATCTGTCAGCATTATCGAACAAGTTTGATAATATTAATTCATTGAGCATTATAACAGCGTAGATGAAATCATTAATGGTAGCGCTACGTTGTTTTCAAGTACTGAATCTGTTTATTAACTTATTACAGTTAATGAAATTGAACATGGTTTAAGTAAAAATTTCATGTTGCTTAATATTATTCAGTTGTCATTAAATATATTAACCTCTCAGTCTGATAAAGAATAGCATCACGTGGATCAACCCTCATTATCATTAGCCTACTGCCAAAATCAGATGCAATGCCAACGAGTAACGGATCTGTTTGATACTGAATACCATTAACATCTGTATGTGCTAGTCCACCTATAATATACAAAGATAATTTGTTATTTCCGAAAAAAACGCTTCCATTCATTAATTATCAGAGTCTACCAGATTCACATACGTAAGGTTACTTCAAGTGTAGCAGTACTCTTTTTTAAGTTCATCATCCTACAAAATAGAACAGTAAAGCTGCATTGGGTAATGAATACGCATGCAATACTGCTGCTGAATGATATGTAAAAGATTTTCTAATAACAATAATGTAAATAAAGCTAACTGAAAATTTTAAGGTACCAAATGAACCTTGTAATTCTTGAGAAGAAATGGTTCTTTAGTATATCTCTTAGAAAGAATTGGTAATTACAGAGATTCTAACAATCAATAATCAGTCATAACTGATGATGGATGATGAAAACGTTTCCCAAATGCAAATTTTATTTTTCTCCTCCTTTCTCTAATAATTTTACCTCTTTTAAAACTTCATCACCTTCAGAATCATAAACAAATGTTTAAGTGAACTCGTAGGATTCAGATGAATAGAACTTGTTACTGGAAAGGAAGATTTATCCATCTTCATCTAAACATTTAATGACTCAATATCTCGGTAATACTTTGGTAACATTTAAGTTTTACTTATTATGAATGAGTAATGTGCATGAATTAAACGACTCTTCAAAATTTAACCTAACTTTGATAAATACAAATGATACTAACCACAATTCACAGCATAATAAATCTTGTCACCAAGGAAAACATTGTCCATTGCTAGTGCAAAATGGAGGAATGATATGACGAACCATATCATGTGATTTACAATCTTCATTGAATCCTGAAAATTCATCAGATTAAACTAATCACTGATGTACTCAAACTTGATAAATTAATCAAATTAAACTAATCACCGACATACTTAAAGCAAGGAAAAAGTTCCACGAGAAGAATTCATGACAGTTCCTACTAAATGTCCACTCGGCTCAGGGTAAATTACTCAATTACTTATGGAAAGGAAATAAGAGAACCGTGAAGCACCGGTCGGGCCTTTCAGGATGAAGCGAGAATGGAAGAGAGATGTGTATAAGGCACTGCGATAGACACGCTATAAATGAATGTTTGCGCCATTTCGTGACATGACACCAACACCGCCACCTATCACTGTTTCTTTTCCTTTGTTTATTCTTCGGAGTAAAGAAAAGCACATTTTCATACTTTCATGCTTTTCAGACAGTCATCTCAGTCTTTCCGTCACATTTTTAACTAAAACTTTCAGTGTTTGTAATTAGAAAAGTTCCACTATTCATCATTTTCACTGTTCCCATTATTAGTAGTAATAATGATAAGGAAGGTTTGATACCAATAGTGATAGCAATAGAGTGATAATGGAGAGATACCAGTAAATATATTATATATTTTATTATTACGTGATTTATATGTATCTTTTATTACCTTTATTATTGCAAAATCTATCATCTGTTAAATTATCATATTTTTACAGCAGTTTGCAGTTCGGTGCATCTTTTGGTACTTACATAAATCGGACATTCCTTCCTTGATTATTTTTTAGCGAAAAAAAAATAAGCATTATCACAGAAAAAAAAAAACGAAAAGAAATTCGTTGTAGGCACACTATTTCATGTACATATAAACTAGAAATTTCTTTGTTTTTTTTTAGAACTTTTAACTGATTATGGTAATGCTTATTCGAATAGTTAATGAAATTTTGTTGTTTTTCAGTTTTTTCACACAGTATTTTCGAAGGTTTATATAGTTTTCTCAGGCAGGATCGATCCGTCACAACATATTTAATGGCAAGAATGACAAGAAAGATCTCTAAAATATTCTCAATATGGTATTGAACTAACGTCATCATTCGAGAAGAAATGTTTCCATTGTATTTAACAATGAAATCCGCATTAATGATTTTACAGAGTGTATATATAAACTACATATTTGTCTTTGTTTGTTTTTTTAGAATTTCTAGTTAATTGTGATGATATTCTCAATATGGTATTGAACTAACGTGATGCTATAATTTTTATTTAAATTGTTCAGAAATTCTATCTCGATAATTCTGCTAAAAACAGTTAATATTTCCAACTTGGTATCTTCGTTTCAAGAAGCTATTTAAAATTGATGGTGGAGAGAAAGGTAATATTTTTTTTGTTTGCGATTACTGCTTTAAAAACTGTCACGCTTGTACGGCAAGTACATTGATTTTTGCCATCCATAGGTAAGCTGTTATTAAAATTTCTGTAT